TGATTGGCTATCCACTTCTCGGAGATTTTCGTGAATGATCTGCAATTTGTGTAACCGATAACTGTCTCCCCTCGAGCGGCCCCCAAAGTACTGTCACATGATGAATCTTCACCAATCAGGAAATACGATTGTTGGAATATATAAGCAATTTACGATTGTTGGAGTTTAGCTGCAGCTGCTGTGTTCATCATGTGACCAATACTTTGGGGGGCCGCCCTGGCTAATTCTTAATGAGTTTTACGGTTAAAAATTTTTTTTTTTACAAAATTCTATCCAAGCAAAAAAAATATTTACCAATTATTGATTGCGAATAACATTTGTTTACTATATATACATACGTACATATTTCAAAAGTATATATATTTACTTAAATAATACAAGAAAACGTTGAGCTTTTATCTGTTTGTTTACTTAAAAACTTGTTTATTTAATAAACAATCGATCAAACTGCCAGTTATAATTTTGGGGAACGTTAAAGCCAGGTTCGGTTAGGGTTGGAATTTTGATGCTTTTTTGACGCAGTTATTTTTATTAATTTATAAAAATATCAAGAATGCAATTTTTGCAATTTGCAGATCATTATGTAAACGAACCTGACTTTAAGAGTTCGCCAGGGCGACCACCAAAAGTACGGTCACGTTATCTGAATTATCGCCACAGCTATTGCTTTGTTACACAGCAATAAAGGAGCATTCAACAATTTTCTAAGAAATTATGCAGTGGCTGCGTCTTATCATGTGCCCGTACTTTTGATGGTCGCCTGGCGAACTCTGACTTTAACGGACCCCTAATTTTGGATATATATCACTCTTAGATGATTGATAGAATACGACTAAATACAGGATTTGTACTTTAACTGATCAAAATTTACATTATTCATAATGACCTATATTTAACTGAGATCCGTAAGATTAGACAATACAAACTTAAGATGCTCGTAGTTATATCAGTTAAACCAAAGATTAAATTATGAACAATTATGTTTTAAATTTTAAACCATTTATAGCATAATATTTATATATATAATTTCACCGATACAGAAACCAATTTAAATACCAGAGATGTTCTATTTACTTGTAATGTTTACCACAAGTATAGGTAGGGTATAAAACTTACAAACCCTTAATTAAATCAATCAATAGTACACTAACATTACAAGAATTACGTGATAGAATAAAACATTATATATTCATGGAAAGGTTGAATAACTAGACAAGGAATGACATAATTGACAAGTAATTCTAACAGCACCTTCCAGCTGCCTTGTTGTTGTCATCAGGTAAAGGAGTAACTTGAATAGTCTCTCCAGCAGTTGGTCTAGCAACATCACCACTGTTAATTTCCAAAGCCTTATTAGATACAATACGGTATATTTCTAAATATGGATTGTAATAATAATGAGATGAAGGTAACAATAAATTAACAAGTCGAAACAAATCACAAAATTACCGGTTAGAATGTTTTGGAAAGCAAGTTCTACGTTACTAGCATCCAAGGCAGAAGTTTCGATAAATGACAAATTGTTTTCCGCTTATAGAATTGATATGGTATGAAAATATTTAATACAATAATAGTATTAAAAAAATATATATACACTAATGGAAATTAATATAAACGTACCAGCAAATTGTTTGGCTTCTTCAGTAGGAACTGCTCGTAAGTGTCTTAAATCACTCTTATTTCCAACAAGCATAATGACAATATTACTGTCAGCATGATCTCTTAATTCTTTCAACCAGCGGTTGACATTTTCATATGTTACATGTTTGGCAATATCATAAACAAGTAAAGCACCAACAGCACCACGATAATATCTGTGAAAATCATCAAGAAATGTAAAATTCAGATTATATTTAAAACGTTGCGTTGCCGCAACCAGATAAAGATTACTTACGCGCTTGTAATAGCTCTATAACGCTCTTGACCAGCTTTTAGGAGATAATTAGTTATCAGAATCGTGGTCAAAAGGAAAGAGTTAATATAGTATTTTAAAATTATTACCAGTATCCCAAATTTGTGCTTTGATAGTTTTATTATCTACTTGAATACTCCTGGTAGCAAATTCGACACCGATAGTAGATTTGGACTCCAAATTGAACTCATTACGAGTGAAACGTGAAAGAAGATTAGACTTTCCAACCCCAGAGTCACCAATTAAGACAACTAAAAAAAAAAAGAAATTAGTCTAATATTAGAGCGCCATCTATGATACCATCTATGAACTTTTTTTTTTTTTTAAAGCTCAATGAAATACAAGCTGTATGACATTGTTTGATAATTTGTAGAAATAACATAACTATTTTAAACAATGGCTTTCTGTGTTATCAAGAAAATAATACATAACGATTGACCCAATAACAAACAAGATGAGGGAACTTTCATATACATATATTTGTTCATATTCCTTACAAAATAACAAAACCCACGGTCCATACCTTTAAAAAGATAATCATATTCGTCGTCTTTACTCATCTTGAAATTAAAAAAATTAAATAAAGATGAAAAATATAAAGAGCCTTGCAACGTTAGAGAAAAAAAAAATGGCTGTGGCGGTGTAAGAAGTTACTATTGATGGATTTTTTTATACGTATCAAATTTTCGACACTAAAGGTACACAAATAGTGATATTCATCAGTGCATAATTACAATTATTGTTAATGTCATTACCGGTGTACTTAAGGAAATATTGTGCAAATTAACACAAACAATGCTTTCCGGGAATTCAATTATTTCTTGACCTCAAGTTACTGAATAGGAAAAAAAAAAATACACAGAAAATCAAAAAAAAATTGGAGGGGCTCCAGCGGGAATTGAACCCACGACCTCTCGCACCCAAAGCGAGAATCATACTACTAGACCATGGAGCCGATTATGGATTTTGGGGCAATTTATTAATTTATGAAATATTTTAAATTACCCCATCAGTTAATTACTATTAATTATTATTAATTACTCCTGTTGCTATGCTATGACAACGGTTTCGCCAAAAAATGAAGTCAGTTTTTTTTTTCAAATAAATTTTTTTCTTTTACGCACTTATGCATTAATTTATCCTATGGCATTTTTTGTCAATCTCTAGTATAACGAAAGAAATCCAACGCATTAATTCCCAAGAAATAGAACGTAATATTTCTGCGTCGGCGTCTTGGCACGCACAATATAAAGACTCCCCTTATATATTTGTTGCAAACGTGCCTTTTGACTTGACGGAAGGTGATTTAATAGCAGTATTTTCTCAGTAGGTAATATTTATTTATTTCACTTTTGTCTCTACAATTGCTTTCTAACACAATATTCTTAATAGATATGGTGAAATTTTAGACATACAGCTAGCTCGTGATAAAAATACGGGCCAGTCTAAAGGTTTTGCTTTTTTGAAATATGAAGATCAAAGAAGCACTGTTCTAGCCGTTGATAATTTGAATAATATTCAGGTAAGAATTAAGATTAAATCATTAATGAACGTAATTTATTAAAATATATGCCTTAGCTATTAGGGCGTACTATACGTGTAGACCATGCAAGCGCTGAAACGAAAGATGGGCGTCGTAGGACGGGAATGAACGCTGCTCCACAATTGATCAAAGGTTGCTGTGTTATTTTTAGTCCGATCACTTATTTATTATTCTCACGAAGTATTAATCGTTAAATATTATGTCAAAAGATGATGGAAAATCATCTGATTCAGATTCTGAAGATGAAGACGAATTTGCTGATAAATTTGATCCAGATGATCCGATGAGAGATTATCTTATCAAAAAATTGAAAAAAGAAAAGAAGAAAGCAAAGAAGCGTGCAAAGAAAGAAAAGAAGGAAAAAAAATCATAGATCTCGATTGCAATAGGTTAATATCCTTTGTAGTCCACTTATAGTAAGAAGTTTATCACACTTCTTGAAGACTAGATATTGTAAATTATATAATGTTTTATCGTGTCGTGATAGGTATAAAAATAAAAAGGATGCTTATCATCGAAGGTAAATGTTCTTCATGCGATTAAAACAAATGAAAGATGAAATTTAGAGTTGAACGAGCTTAGATATGGCAGAACACATATCATTGTAAAATTTCACAAGATATTTTCTTTCTTTTTTTGTCAGAATGCAAATTGTGAGTTTTTGAAATTTGCATCTTTTTGTCTTGTTTTCACATTACCGTATTTCTGTATTTACCCAAAATAATTCTCACATGTTTCTAAATAACATCCCGGGTGTTATTTTGGATAAATACGGTACACCCCAGTGATTTATACAGTGGATTGTAGTGCTTGGATCCGATCAAAAAATCCGTCGTATATACGTGTTACAGATAGTCGGATACATGTAATAATAATGATATATTATCGTTATAATGACATAAATAAATGATATTAAACTATCCGATACTTCGATAAAATAATGATGCATTATAATGACATAATAAATGACATTTATTATAAACTTTTTATTTTATACGATTATACTTTTTCTTATATATTTATATTTACCTTAATAATATTTTTTTGTACTCATTCATAATAATGGATAGCGAAGATTCTTTACAATATAATGAAACCTCAAGCGAAACTTCTATGAGTGCTTAAATGATGATATTGTTATTACACATTCAATAGATAATAATCGATCAAAAAAAAGAGAGGTTCCAGGAAAAGAAGCTGGATATGGGTCCATTTTAAGGATTTACCTGCTAAACGCAGATCTAAAGGCCAGTGCAATGTGTTAAAAAATGATGGTACAAAATGTAATCATATTATTGAAACTGATGACAGTACAGGAAATTTTAGTTATCATCTTCATATTATACATGGGGTTACAAAATTTGGAAAACTAATATTAGATAACTTCCAAGCATTAAGTGATGAAATGCTTCGTCAATGATTCAAGGATAATGTTGAATATAAAGAGCAAGTTGACAGCATGGTGGTTGAATTTCTTATATCTGATTTGCAACCATTTTCTGTTTTAGAAAATTCAGCATTTAGAAATATCTTGTAATAAGGATATTAAAACTCAAATCTATATATCTTACAATTAGATGTTGATCATTTTTTAAGATAGATTGAAGAATTTAATGAATTATTATGCATTAATAATAGACTTATAGACTTTTTACAGTAATAGTGGATATCTTGAATTTACATATTCATAAATTAATTTTTGTTTTGAATTGCAAGAAATCACTTTGGCTATTTGTGAAATAAAACACCCATATATTGAATATGCAATTGCTTCTGTATTGAAATCTATTGTTCAAAATTGGAATTTAAATATAAAATGTTTTTATAATAACAACTAATAATATTAAAAATATAAAAAAGGTTGTTATAGAAATTGAAGAAGTTGCAAAAACAAAATTTTCCCTGCTAATCCTCTATATATAAAAATACAAAAACAAAATAATGACAAAAAATAACAGAAATACATAACTGGTTATAGGAAACAAGACTTGCAACTCTAAGGAAAAAGCAAGAAAACTAAAAATAATACTTAGTTTCTTAAAAGATTTGAGTAAATAGAGCAGAAGCAGCAAAGATATAGTAGAAAAACTTGATAATTTTGCCCTTTATAAGCTATTTGGGAATTAGTCTTGACTCTGTAATGTAGATCAGTTACTGTTATACAAGATATACAACATATAATGAAAAATAAACAAAGAAAACATATTAAAAAATATGTGACAAACAAAAACAAAGGAGATACACAAATATCTATAAAATATTAAGGAGCTATAGTATGATAAAACATAGAAGATAAACAAGTAGTTTGATTAGCTCGCGTATCATATATAAGATGTTGATCAACAATATAGTAACTAAATATGCATTTTATGTCAATATTTGCTTATTGTAGGCAATTCAAGTGTAATATAAAACTATATCGTTGTACCTTTACTTACTATTACAAAAATTTATTACTATTAGGGTAGCAATTATATTCAGGCAAAATGACATCTAATGCAAGCATTAATTAAATTATAGTATTTATTATTGTTATATCAAATACTAATAAAAAAATATTTAAATTATTATATAACTTGGAAAGCTCATATATTTCACACAACCTACATACCAGAAACATAGGTTATATACTAGTAACAATAAATTAATTACATGAAGAAAAAATAATAGAAAATATTAGAACAAAACCTACAACAGCAAAACAAGCAGAGAAATGAATAGCAGCAATATATATAGAATTGAGACAACATAGAGCAGGAAGAATTAAATATACAGAACTTGTATTTAAAAAAAGAAATAATATAGTATATCAAGAGGCAATATAGTTAGAAATTGATCTAACAGAACCTACTAGACGAAGTAACTAGTACTATAAAAAACCTATGCGCAGCAGAAAGAAAAAGGCTGTTTATATATAATAAAGAAAGATTGGTCACAAAAGCTAGAATAGAACCAGAATGGATAAAAAGACTAGATAAGCAAAGAAAGTACTAACAAAGGCAGCATAATAAAATAACATTAGGACTATTAGTACAGTGCTTTAGAGAATTAGTAAAATTAATGAAAATAAAACAACACAAAGAAAAAAGGAAAAATAAAATTAGAAAAAAAATAAAGAAAATGCAAGTTTGACAGAAAGCAAAGCTGCTAGAACAAAAACATAAAGAAGCTAAAGAAAAAAAAGAAATATTAAAAAAAAGAACCACAGAAAGGGATATTAAAGATCTCATAGAGAAAGAAACTTAAGACAAATTAACCAAAGAATCAAGACCAAGAATTCTGGCATTAATCTTAATAGAAAAAGAAAACTTAATCAAAATACAAAACAAAAACTCACAAAAGAAAATACTAAGATAGATAGCAGAGTTTATATATCAAGTAAACTTAAAAAATAAACAAGATAATATTAAAGATTGAAAAAAGAAGAAAAAAGAAATCTTAAACGAATAGAGCAGACGAATTAGATCATTAATGAACACTAGTATAAATGAAGAGAATACTATACAAGATGTAGCAACAGGAAGAACAATAGAAATTAAGAATTAGAAAAGAAAAAAGAAAGATACCAGATTTAGAATAGCAAGAAGGAGTATAAAAAAAGTAGCCAGAAATCAAGAAAATACTTTAAACTGCAAAAGAAGCTATACAAAAGAAAAACAAGCTTATAGAATAGAAAAATGAAAGCAGAAATGTAGCTTCAAACAGTCAAGAATTGGAAAAAGAAAAAGAAAACCTTTATATTGGAAACAGTAAGAGAGTTTTTAGAAAGACCAAAAGGTAAAGTAAAGTATACAAGATTTTAAAAAGCACTTATTAGAAGAAATATAAGACTATGGAGTAAAAAAAAAAAGAAAACACAAAGTTTTGATGAAAGAGAAAAAGAAAATCTGAACAAATTAACCAAGATCTAGAAGTAAAAGAATCAAAAGTAATATTGAAGAAACTAGAAGAAGAAAAAAGCTGCAGACAAATACTTCTGGTAAAAATCTATATAAAGAATACAATCAAGAGTAAGAAGAATAAGATGAAGCTTAGAAACCAGAAGAAACACAAAAAGAAGAGAGAAAGTAGAAGATTAAAACGCCAGAGCAGACTACCAGTAAAAAGAAATAAAATAAAATATAAAAGATGAATTGGGGTAACTATAGTAGATCAAAGAAAGAATTAAGTAATAGCACAATTTTTAGAATTTATAGAATAAGAATACACAATATAATAATTTTACTTTAAGATTAGCGATTTGATGCTTTGCATTGTTTGCAAGTACTGGCCATGGCCAAAGCGCAATTATATTGTAAAATATAAATATAATTAGGTAGTACTAACAAGATGGGTAGTCATTAGCCAATAACCAAAGGGAAATAAATCCCTAGTGAGTTAAGGATCCAGAGAAAGGCCAAGAACTACTAAGGCAGATCACACCTAGACGAAAGCTGAGGGTAAGTCTCTAATTTGGTTAAATTAGCAATAGCTATTGATAGAAATGTATAATTCTTGAATAGCTTAATATCAAATAAACAGAGACAGGATTGCCGAATTATAAAAAAAAAATAAAAAATATAAACAAAAAAAAAAGTCAAAGAGAATGACAAAAAATAAAAAAAAAATCTATTAAGTTTGTAAAAATTATACAGTATATTAATATAATATGCAATATATATTTTTTTTTTAAAAACTTAGCTAGGAAAGCTGGTAAAGCCTTTATTAGATTTATTCATAAATACATGCATAATTTTTGAATTATATTACAATCTATTACTAGGCTATATTAACCCAATCAGCGATTTGACATTTATTTAGCTACTCTAATAGGTAATTAAATATATTCTAATTGCACTACTAGCATGTTATAGCCAAAACTAACACTAGCAGTCAGGATATCTTCCACTCTGGAAAGACAATACTATTAAACCGCCCACTGGTAGAAAGGATCAGACACATATCTGATACTACTTCTGCATCTTAAAACTATTATATTTAGCTAAACTATGTTTTCAGTATTACCCAAATTTTTGCTTTTATATAACTTTTAAATTGGTGATATTTGGGTTATAGTATTATATTAGCAAATTTTATTAGTTAAATTTATTTAGATTATATATATTTTATTAGGAAATTTTTATTAGTCGAATTTTATTTTATTTTATTTTTTTAATGTTAAGGTGATCACTTTGGGGTTTGGCACATTTTATTGAACTTTGATTCGAATGTCAAAGCAACCATATGGGCTACCCCTGACTTTGTTACATTAACGAGGATATAACTAGCCATATGTACAACTTTTGGTTGTCTATTTAAGCAGTTTTGCATATGTAAACCGTTTGAACTACACTAGATGCTATACCTATAACTCAACTAAGAGGATTATCTATT